GTGTGTGTGTAAAACAAATAATTTATATTTAAATATAATATATATATTGATTTTCGAAAGGGTTGATTGGTTTCTTCCCATAATCATTCTTAAAATAAGTGACAAGTAATTTATAAAAGGTATAGTCACTTAAAGTGAAGAGAGAAGATCTTACAAGTGTAGTGGTTAACTTCAAGTTCTCGAAAAATGTATTTAAAATCGAACCCCTTTTATTGCACAATACCTCCTGCATGCTGAAACGTTCCAGACATATGGAACAACGATAAGGAAAACTTTTAAAGACTCGCATTTACTACGAATTTCTTTCCGAGTAACGCGCGTATAGTTATTAATCTCTCGCATATTTATTAATGCCATGTACATTTTTGCTTAAAAGAGGGACAATCGTGTAACCGTCGCTCGCTTTCTCCTCCGTCCTCCGTCGGATTTGGCACGTCTCCGCGAGATTTTTACAAAAATAGTCGCGTGTATGTAAAACCGGCGATGGCATAGCTCGACCAGATGACGTATCGCGACGCAGCTGCATGATTTCAGAATAAATAATTCAAAAGGCTTTATGAATTGCACGTTTCAGATGACAAGCGTGGCTGTTCGCGATAACGACGAATAATGTCCCATCCAACGAGATGCAGATATCGATGTCGAAAAGGAAGGAAGGAGAGAGAGAGAGAGAGAGAAAGAGAGAGAGAGAGAGAGAGAGAGATATTTCCGTCGCTCACACAAATATCTCGGAGGAAATATTCTTGGCCTTTTATCGTGTGAGCGTTCATCGCGCCAATCGAGCGGTCAATCTATTTGAAGACGCGCGTATTCTCTCCGATGGACGATAATCACGGTAATACGATTAGAATATGCAGCTTACTACACGCTCTAATCGATACGAAAGAGATATCGTGCCTTATCCTTATTTTATACATTTATTATCCATTTACGAATTTTCGATCACTCATCGGATCTTTGCCAATGGAAAGTTACGCGCAAAACACGAAATCTTCTGCAAGTTATTAAATTTTATTTATACTCGTTATATTCGCGCAAATCAGTACTGGCACTGACCCCCTAATGCCTCGTGAATCTATGCCTTACTTCACGAAATGTTTTCATTAATAAAAAAATATAAATTTTTTTTTTTTTTTTT